GTGTTGGGGATTTTTTTCCATAAAAAATTCCACGATACTATTTAAAGTAGTTTTGAGTAATATTGTAATATTTTTTTAATCTGGTTTCGTAGTTACCCCATTGAGAAATTTATACAATTTTTTGTGTTGGGGAAAATTCTTAGGAAAAAAATTCCACTGCACCCTTTTAGGCTCTCTAATTTATCTGCTTTCTTTATAGTAATAATTTTACATTTTTGGAACTCAGTTTTTGTAGTTACACCAGTAAGAAATTTTTCTGCAATTTTTTGTGCTGGGTAAAGACATTCTACTACAACCCTTCAACCTAATTTTTTTATTTTTCTAGTAGTTTTGTGTTGGGGAATTATTGTAATCAAAAAAATTCCACTACACTCTTTTAGGCTCATTTGTTTATTTTCATATTTATTTTGAGTAATGTTTGTGCATTTTAGGATATTAGTTTTTGCAGTCACACCGGCTAGAAATTCGTACAATTTTTTGTGTCGGGGAATTTTTGTTTTTTTTTTCTAAGAGTTTCTAAAAAAAATTTCACTGTGATGTTTCAAACTCATTTTTTTATTCTTCTATTTGTTTTGTGTATTATTCTTGCTTTTGAGGAATTTAGTTTTCGTAATTAGTCCTGTAAGAAATTTCTACAGTTTTTTTGTGTTGGAGATTTTTTTAATAAAAAAATTTCACTGCACTTTTTCAAGTAGTTTTGAGTAATATTGTAATATTTTTTTAATCTGGTTTTGTAGTTACCCGATTGAGAAATTTATACAAATTTTTGTGTTCGGCAAAATTCTTAGTAAAAAAATTTCAGTGCACTCTTTTAGGCTCTATAATTTATCTGCTTTATTTGTAGTAATAATTTTAAATTTTTGGAACTCGATTTTTATAATTACACCAGTAAGAAATTTTTCAGCAATTTTTTGTGTTGGGTAAAGACATTCCAATACAACCTTTCAAGCTTAATTTTTTATTTCTCTAGTAGTTTTGTGTTGGAGAATTTTTGTAATAAAAAAAATTTCACTACACTCTTTCAAGCTCATTTGTTTATGTTCCTATTTGTTTTGAGTAATGTTTTTACATTTTAGGATTTTAGTTTTTACGAGTCACACCAGGTGAGAAATTCGTACAATTTTTTGTGTCGGGAAATTTTGTTTTTTTTAGGAATTTCTCCGAGAAATTATTTTTAGGAAAAAAAAATTCCACTGTGGTGTTTCAAAATCATTTTTTTTATTCTTCTATTTGTTTTTAGTAATATTCTTGTTTTTCAGTAATTTAGTTTTTGTAAATACTCCAATGAGAAATTTCTACAATTTTTTTGTGTTAGGCATTTTTTTTCATAAAAAAATTTCAGTGCACTCTTTCAAGTAGTTTTGAGTAATATTTAAACATTTTTCAAATTTGGTTTCGTAGTTAGCCCATTGAGAAATTTATCCAATTTATTGTGTTGGGGAAAATTCTGAGTAAAAAAATTTTACTTCCCTCTTTTAGGCTCTATAATTTATCTGCTTTTTTTGTAGTAATAATTTTACATTTTTGGAACTCAGTTTTTGTAGTTACACAGTAAGAAATTTTTCTGCAATTTTTTGTGCTCGGGTAAAGACATTAAACTACAACCTTTCAAACTCAATTTTTTATTTTTCTAGTAGTTTTGTATAGGGAAATTTTTGTAATAAAAAAAATTCCACTACATTCTTTTAAGCTCATTTGTTTATTTTCCTATTTTTTTTAGTAATGTTTTTACATTTTAGAATTTTAGTTTTGCTGTCACACCGGTGAGAAATTCATACAATTTTTTGTGTCGGAAAATTTTTTTTTTCTAGGAGTTTCTCTGGGACATTTTTTTAATAAAAAAAATTCCACTGTGGTGTTTCAAGCTAATTTTTTTTATTCTTCTATTTATTTTAAGTAATATTCTTGCTTTTCAGGAATTTAGTTTTCGTAATTACTCCAAGTGAAAAATTTCTACAATTCTTTTGTGTTGGAGATTTCTTTTCGAAAAAAATTTCACTGCACTTTTTGAAGTAGTTTTAAGTAATATTGTAACATTTTTCGAATCTGGTTTCATAGTTATCCCATTAAGAAATTTATACAATTTTTTGTGTTAGGGAAAATTCGAGTAAAAAAATTTCATTGCACTCTTTTAGGCTTTATAATTTATCTGTTTTTTTTGTAGTAATAATTTTACATTTTTGGAACTCAATTTTTATAGTTACACCGAGTAAGAAATTTTTCTGCAATTTTTTGTGCTTGGGTAAAGACATTCCACTACAACCTTTCAAGCTCAATTTTTTATTTTTCTATTAGTTTTGTGTTGGGGAATTTTTTTAATCAAAAAAATTTCACTACAATTTTTCAAGCTCATTTGTTTATTATTCTATTTGTTTGGAGTAATGTTTTTACATTTTAGGATTTTAGTTTTCACAATCACACCGATGAGAAATTCGTACAATTTTTTGTGTCAGAGAATTTTGTTTTTTTTTCTAACAATTTCTGTGGGAAATTTTTTTAGTAAAAAAAATTTCACTGTGGTGTTTCATGCTCATTTTTTTATTCTTCTATTTGTTTTGAATAAAATTCTTGTTTTTTAGGAATTTAGTTTTCGTAATTACTCCAGTGAGAAATTTCTACAATTTTTTGGTGGTGGGGATTTTTTTTCATAAAAAAGCTCCACTGCACTCTTTCAAGTAGTTTTGAGTAATATTGTAACATTTTTTGAATCTGGTTTCGTAGTTACCTCATTGAGAAATTTATACAATTTTTTGTATTGGGGAAAATTCTTAGTAAAAAAATTTCACTGTACTCTTTTAGGCTCTATAATTTATCTGTTTTCTTTGTAGTAATAATTTTACATTTTTGGAGCTCATTTTTTGTAGGTACACTAGTAAGAAATTTTTCTGCAATTTTGTGTGTTGGATAAAGACATTCCACTACCGCCTTTCAAGCTCAATTTTTTATTTTTCTAGTAATTTTGTGTTGGGGAATTTTTGTAATCAAAAAAATTCCATTACACTGTTTTAAGCTAATTTTTTATTTTCCTATTTGTTTTGAGTAATATTTTTACATTTTAGGATTTTAGTTTTCGCATCCAGACCTGTGAGAAATTCGTACAATTTTTTGTGTCGGGGAATTTTGATTTTTTTAAGAGTTTCTCTGGAAAAAAATTTTAGTAAAAAAAATTCCACTGTGGTATTTCAAGCTAATTGTTTTTATTCTTCTATTTGTTTTGAGTAATATTCTTACTTTTCGGGAATTTAGTTTTCGTTATTACTCTAGTGAGAAATTTCTACAATTTTTTTGTGTTGTGGATTTTTTTTCATAAAAAAATTTCACTGCACTCTTTTAAGTAGTTTTGAGTAATATTGTAACATTTTTCGAATCTGGTTTCGTAGTTACCCCATTGAAAAATTTATACAATTTTTTGTGTTGGAGAAAATTCTTAGTAAAAAAATTTCACTGTACTCTTTTAGGCTCTATAATTTATTTGTTTTCTTTGTAGTAATAATTTTATATTTTTGAAACTCGGTTTTTGTAGTTACACCAATAAGAATTTTTTCTGCAATTTTTTATGTTAGGTAAAGACATTCTACTACAGACCTTTAAAGTTAAATTTTTTATTTTTCTAGTAGTTTTGTGTTGTGGAATTTTTGTAATAAAAAAAATTCCACCACACTCTTTCAAGCTCATTTGTTTATTTTCCTATTTGTTTTGAGTAATGTTTTTACATTTTAGGATTTTTGTTCTCGTAGTCACACTCGGTGAGAAATTCGTACAATTTTTTGTGTCGGGAATTTTATTTTTTTTCTAAGAGTTTCTCCGGGAAATTTTTTAGTAAAAAAAAATTTCACTGTTGTGTTTTAAGCTCATTTTTTTTATTATTCTATTTGTTTTGAGTAATATTCTTGCTTTTCAGGAATTTAGTTTTCGTAATTACTCCAAGTAAGAAATTTCTACAATTTTTTTTGGTTGGAGATTTTTTTTCATAAAAAAAATTTCACTGCACTCTTTCAAGTAGTTTTGAGTAATATTGTAACATTTTTCGAATCTGGTTTCGTAGTTACCCCATTGAGAAATTTATACAATTTATTGTGTTGGGGAAAATTCTTAGTAAAAAAATTTCACTGCACTCTTTTAGGCTCTATAATTGATCTGTTTTCTTTGTAGTAATAATTTTACATTTTTGGAACTTAGTTTTTGTAGTTACACCAGTAAGAAATTTTTCTGCACTTTTTTGTGCTGGGTAAAGACATTTCACTACCGCCTTTCAAACTCAATTTTTTATTTTTCTAGTAATTTTTTGTTGGGAAATTTTTGTAATAAAAAAAATTCACTACACTCTTTCAAGCTTCATTTGTTTATTTTCCTATTTGTTTTGAGTAATGTTTTTACATTTTAGGATTTTAGTTTTCGCAATACACCTGGTGAAAAATTCGTACAATTTTTTATGTCAGGAAATTTTGTTTTTTTTTTTCTCGGAGTTTCTCTGGGAAATTTGTTAGTAAAAAAAAATTTCACTATAGTGTTTCAAGCTCATTTTTTATTTTTCTATTTGTTTTGAATTATATTCTTGCTTTTCAGAAATTTAGTTTTCGTAATTACTCCAATAAGAAATTTTTACATTTTTTTTGTGTCGGAGATTTTTTTTCCTTTTTTGGAGTTGTTATGATTTTTACTCTGCACAAACATGTACAAGACTTCTGTTTTTTATATAAGTTATTACACTACTTTTATTTTCTTATTATTTTTGTCATGTCTCTTTTGTTTGTTTATGTGATGGATGATGCCTTTTACTGTCTCCTCTTACTCATTACAAAAAGATTTAAAAGAGCTTATTCAATTAATTTTTTATATATACTGAATATGAAAAAATTAGCAAACATAACTTATTTTAATTATTACATTTAATTATCATTTATTTTAAAATAAAATAATGGAAACAGACAATACTTTACTTTTGCTTTCCTTAGAGGGGTTAATTATTTTGCTGTTGTTTCAGAAGTCTGTTGAGAAACATGAGTTCTGGTGGGTACACTGTAGAGGTTACGGGTCTCTCGTCAAATGTCACCGACAAGGATATCCGTGACTTCTTTGCTTTCTCTGGTGTCATCGATACTGTTGAAATTATCAGGTAAGCTTTCATTTAAATGATTTTTTTTTTCATGTAATAGTTTAGCTTCGATTTTAGTTCTCTTTGATTTTAATTGTTGACTCGTCATAGCTGTGAATGCCAATTTGGTGAAACTATAGATATTAATTTTGTTGGGTTGATGGACATAGCTTTGACAATTTCCGGCAGGTTGTGCTTAGCAAAGGAGTGCAGGTGATTAGGTCTCGGTCTGTAAGAAAAGAGTGAGGATTAAATTCATATCTAGTTGACAAATCTGCTTTACATAAGAGTAGTTTTGGCAGGAATAGTGGATAAGGCTATGTAGTGCACATACCTATGTAATTTGACTAGGTTTCCTCGTTGAGCCAACTGCTTGGATTTTGGCAAGAGTGAAAACTATTGTAGCAAGTAAAGAGTTTAAGGTAAAATAAAGCTAGTTGGGAATTTTATGGAATACTTGGTATGCCAGAGAAAAGGGGTTGTTGTGGTCAGGAGGTTGTTAAAATTGTAAGAAATATTTGTGTTTAACTTCACTAAACTAATATACCATCCATTATCTATTATTCCTATTATAATAAAATTATGTTATCATTAACTCTCGATTTTATCCTAGCCTTAAATCATTAAGCAAGAGAATCCAAGTTCTTTGATTCCACTACCAATCTGGTATATTAGAGTAGCCAAAGTACTTATATTAAGAAAAGAGGTTTTAATGGTGACCAATTCTAATTGAGTTCGTCTTTTCCAATTCACAATTAAAAATGAGTGTTGTAAACTTGACAATCAATCTAGAAATAGACAATAAGCATAAAAGAAGATCGATAACAACTTAGTTGATAGGAAAAAACAGTAATCACTGGGAAGTTTTTTAATTACATTAAAGCCCAACAAACATGAAAAATTAGCTAGTCATAGTCATATAATAGAAAAGATGATGAAGAAATTCTCTGATAGCATCCTTTGAAATAGAAGTCGTAAAGTCTCCTCTCTTCCAAACGCTTCACTGCTAGTCTCCAAAAGTATATATTCTTTTTGGCTCCTTAGGCTTTTAAAAACAGGTTTCATGGACCTTAAGTTGATAAAACAAAGTTGGCTTGGTTAAGCGAGCATATAGAGTTTCTAGGCTTTAGCAGAGGGGCTCACGTAAGTGCAGTTAGTGGCTTCTTAAGAAAATTCATTTCTTCATTGTATCAGTGGGAACACTTCTTGTCATCTTTCTCCTTTAAACTGAATTTCCTTCAAAATTAAACAAAAAGGCAATGATCCTATGGAAAAAAGGCATAAAACTGAACTTGTAAAATGTAAAAGGCATTTATTGCAGTATTGATCAAATTACATCAAAATACTGGTGAAAATCAAGTACAAGTGCCAATTATCACTGACATGTGAAGTTCAGCTCTGACTAAGTTCACTCCGAATGCATACCCATTTTTACATAGGAGTAGTTTTGATGGGAAAAGTGGTTGGACCTTATATAGGAGTAGAGTTTTGGTGGGGAAAGTCATTAACCCTTATATTGGAGTAGTTTTGGAGGCTTACATCCGTAGATAGTTGGCCAATCTGCCTTAACAGGAATAGTCTTGGAGGAAGAGTTATTATGACATTATAGCTGTTATAGTGCATGTGGTCTTCATAATGTGATGAGGTATGAGTCGGCAACCCAACCTGAGAAGGTCAGCTTTGTGAAGTCGGTCTTTTAATGCATGTTAATTTTGTGAATGGTTCAAAGTCCAAGGTCGAATGAGTTCGCAACATGGAAGTAGCGTGCGCGATGTCGGCACTCTACCCTTCCAAACAACCTTGCATGCTGATGAAGGCAGAGGACGATATGCGGGAGGATGGTGCAGAACAAATTGTTTATTTGAACCTAATTTATCATCTGTAATTTCTTTCTTTCTTAATTTCTTGGCCTATCTTAACATGTTGTATAATTTTTAGCCTGGAAACAAATTCCATGAGACATTTTGAATATGAATATAAATATTCACTTGGTGTTTCTTAATTTGTTTATTAGGCTATCATGAAGGGATTATTTTTATTTTCCTTCCTGTGAAAGAGGATTGATCATTTATATTTGGTAATGTCTGTTTTAGCAGTCGAACTGAAAGTACCAAGTTTTGGATTTTACCTTATATTTGTTTGAGATATTATTGATTTTTGGCTAGTTGAAGTTTGATCTGATGGTTGGTTATTGCTGAGTACAGGTCTGGTGATTATGCTTGTACTGCTTATGTGACTTTCAAAGATGCATATTCTCAAGAAACCGCATGCTTGCTTAGTGTGAGTATTTTAAAATCTCATGTTCAGAATACTTCTATGTCGACAATGGAACGGTCATGTACTCTACTAGTTGTTAAGTTGCCTCAATGATAAGTTCCGGAAAATGTTCTTTTGTAAAATGATTTTTAACTTCTCAAAATGAACCTTGCCATTGAAACTGTTGGAAAATGCCTTAGTTATATGATAGAAACCCACTGGTAGAGAATTATGAACTGAACTTTATATTCACGAAAACTGGTATTGAATTACCAATTTACATAAAACACCGAAATTGAAACAGTACAACACTATGGACATCATAAACATTAGACCCTCCAAGTTACTGAGAGCTTGGTCTCTCCCTTTCCCATATGACACCCGTTAATCCTAAAGACAGTTATGCTTGCCCCCTAATAAAACATTAAAATTGCTAAAATGGTTAAAAAACTGTCAACAACTACTAGTAACTGTCCTATTTACTGTAGAACCCTATTTCTGGTTTCTCCTCTTATAATGTTTACTTATAAGAGGTTTAACAATACCCCCCCTCAAAAGAGTCACCTTGTCCTCAAGGTGAAAAGAAGGAAATTGGTGCATGATGGTCTCCACTGATTCCCAAGTAGCTTCAAATTCTGGTAGATCAGTCCATTGAATGAGCACCTCTGCAGTCCCATTGGGTGAGTTGCACGCGGCTTTCACAGCAGCTGGGGTGACTTGTTATTCCAATTTTGAAGATAACAAGGGTGATAGAGGTTGAGGCATTGTGGAGGGCGATAGAGCTTTCTTCACTAATGAAACATGGAACATGGGGTGAATCATACTTTCTGGTGGAAGAGCTAATTGGAAAGAAACTGCTTCAATCTGTTTTGTGATCTGATATGGGCTATATAAAGGTGGACTTAGCTTCTCATTTCACTTCCTAGCCAAGGATCATAATCGATAAGGATGTAACTTAAGATACACCCAATTGCCAACAACCCATGGTAAGGAGCGCTTGGATTGGAAAGCATACTTCTTCATCTGATTTTGTGCTTTGGCCAAATTCTCCTTGAGATTATGCAACATTTGATCCCTATCATGGGTCATCACGTTCATCTCCTCCACAACTGGAACATGGTAGCTTTCAGGAGATGGGGTGGGTCTCTTCCATATAATATAATCCCTTGAAAGGAGTCAATTTTAGAGAGTTGTTGTAGTTAGTGTTGAAACACAACACAACCCAACTCAGCCACTTAGGCCATTGCTTCGGTTGGGTGCTGGTGAGGCACCTAAGACAAGTCTCCAAACACTGGTTGACTACCTCTGTTTGACCATCAAAGTGGGAATGATAATGATAGGCTAAGCTAGACTTGAGTTTGGTGCCTGCTGCCTTAAATAATTTAGACCAAAAATGGCTGAGAAGAATTTTATTGCAATCTGAGACAATAGAGGAGGGAAAACCGTGCAGTTTAACTGCTTCAATGACAAAAAGTTCAACAACCTCTTTGACAGTAAAAGGATGGCTGAGTGCAAGGAAATAAGCATAGTTAACCTGTCAACCACCACCAAGATGACATCCTTTCCATGAGACCTAGGAAGTCCTTCAATTAATTCCATGGAAATATCAGCCCAAACTTGAGTTGAAATAGAAAGAGGTTGAAGAAGCCTAGCCAAGGATAAAGCTTGATATTTGTTTCTTTGGCATGTCTCACATATAGCGACATTCTGTTGCACATCTTTCTTCATACCTTCCCAAAACACCACCGCCAAAATTCTTTTATAGGTTCTAAAAATCCCAGAATGTCCCCCTCAAAGTGAAACTCCTACAATAGGAAGGTAACTCTAGAAGACTCTTTTGGAAGCATTAACTGCCCTTTATAAAACAACTTCTGATTGTAAAACTCATAACCTGGATGAGGATTTGGATCTTGAATCAAATCGTGAATAATCCCTAGGATGTGAGGATCTTGATGAATTTCAGATTCCTAGTCTTCTAATTGCCCAAACTGAACTGATGACAAAGCTAAAGATGTCATCTTTCTGGAGAGAGCATCAGCCACACTGATCTCCTTGCCTGGACGATAATGGATCTCAAAATCCAAATCCATGTTTTTAGAGGTCCAGCTGAAATATTCCTCATTCATCACCCTTTGCTTAGTCAGAAACTTGAGGCTTTTCTGATCCGTAATAATTATAAAATGTCTTCCCATTAAGTAATGGCACATTTTTGTACAACCAACACAGTAGTCATTAACTCTCGCTCGTAAACTGACTTGAATTGGACCTGTGCTGAGAGTGTCCGACTAAGAAAAGCCACTGGTAAACCCTCTTGCATTAAAACAACCCCTATCCATTGGCTAGAAGCATCGGTCTCTATAATAAAAGTCTTGGAGAAATTGGGAATTGTCAAAATAGGCAAGTCTACCACCATTTTTTTTAACTTTGCCATTGTTGTTTGGGCTTCTTCCGTTCATTGAAAGTTATCTTTCTTCAATAGTTGAGTTAAAGCTCAGGCTATCTTACCATAATCTTTGACAAACCTTCTATAGTAACTTGTCAATCCCAAAACCCTCCTCAAAGGTTTCAGATCTTTTGGTATTGGCCAATCCAACATTACTTCAACTTTTCTTGTGTTAGCTGCAACTCCTTATTTGGAAATGATGTGGCCCAAGTACTCCAACTGATGTTGCCAGAAATTACATTTCTTCTTATTGGCAAACAATGTGTTCTCCTTCAATAATGCCAACACAACCCTACGATGATGGTGATGTTCTTCCAAACTCCTACTATAAATCAGATTATCATCAAAGAAAACTAGACTGAATTTTCTCAAAAGCAGCTTTTGTATCTCGTTCATGAGAGATTGAAAAGTGGAAGGGGGCATTGGTGAGTTCGAAAGGTATGACAACAAACTCGTAATGTCCCTCATGAGTTTTGAAAGTTGTCTTATGTTGGTCCTCTTTCCACATCTTAGTATGATGGTAACCAGGTCTTAAATTCAACTTAGAAAAAATCACGGTTCCGCCCAACTCATCAATAATAGGAATAGGAAACTTATCTGGTATAATGATCTTGTTAAGAGCCCTATAATCCACACAAAAGCAGTACCTACCATCTTTCTTCCTCACCAATATGATAAGACTAGCATAGAGATTGATACTAGGGTGGATTATACCTGATTTAAACATATCATCCACCAACCTTTCAAGTTCATTCTTCTAGTAGTGGGGGTACTTGTATGGTCCGATGTTGGGAATTTGGGATCCTTCCTTAAATAGAATCGCATGGTCGTGCTTCCTATGTGGCAGTAAATGATGTGGCTCTTGAAAGACTGAACCGTATTCTTCCAAAACTGATTCAGTCCAACAAAATGAGGTGATGTCCTACCCTTGGCTTGCAGCGAATGGTAGTACACTAGGAAGCCTTGACCTTGATTAGAGAGAGCCTTGAAGATTGAATTGAGAGAATCCACTACTCTTGTTAGGTCCAAGTCTCCTTTCAACGTGTGAAATCCATCCATAAGAAGAATCCTTAAAGTGAGTTCCCGGGTTTTTGGCTCTTATTTCTTCTAGTCCAGAAAACCATGCGATTCCTAATACCACATCAACACCTCCCAGATCAAATACATAAAAGTCTTGTTGAATTTCAAGACACTCGAACTATATACATAGAGGTGGTATACAAATCTAATCCACCTCGCATCACCAATTCAGCAGATATGAAATTATGAGAAGCTCCATAATCAATAAGCATCATGACTTGTTTCTCATCAATCTTGCCCCACAACTTCATTGTCTTCTTTGTTGTAAGATCCGCAATGCTGCACATGGATAATTGGACATCATTGTGTAACACGTAAAATCAATGTAACAATAAAATATCATATGAAACAGTGAAAACCCAATGGAGCAGCGAGATGGAATTGTCGTAATTGCCAATAAAATTTGGAATGATTGAGTTTGGTTTACAAGGAATTAAAAATGGAAATCATAACGAAGCTAAAACGTAATGGAATTCCAGACGTCCCATGCGGATACATGAAGACAGGAATGATGAGATGAGTAACAGAGTTTGTTTAAGAAACAGATAGGGAATGGGTAGAGAATGAGCAGAAACAGTTAGCAGAAAAGATTGCATACCAGTCAGTGCCTCTCTCATTGAATGAATTCCTTTAAATACATATTTTCCTTCCGTTCACGTGTGCTTCTCCTTAATGCCTTATCATCCGGATCCATTTCCACTTGGCCCCTTCCTTCCACTATATTTTCTGTTATTTTCTTTTTTTTTTTGTAGCACATTGGTTTTTACATCTTTTATCCCTATGGTGTGGTTTCCCTCCACATCTCCTTCTTTCTCCCCCCTTAGCCAACACTAAAACATGTAAATACTTGTTGGCACACACATGGCCGAGACTAAATTTTTCATCAGATCGGAAACACAACTTCTTTCAAGACTTCTCATCAATGAGTCTCCTAAAACTTCTTCCGTGGAAGGTAGTAGAAGGTTTCACTACACTGCTCTCTCCTGGAGAACTTCCTGTGTATGACATTGTAGCATGTTGCCTCACTCTTGGTTCCCACGTTATTATGCGGTTGTTGCAATATGCCCGGGTCGGTCTGTTCCAACTACTTGTTGTAGTGCTCCCTTTCTTGGCCAACTGGTAAATCTCATCCACACTTTGTGCATAGTCCATTAAATTCGCTAAACTCTTAGGTAGAGTTCGAGTTCTGCTTTAATTAATTCATTGAGCCCATTCAGAAAGATGCCCCTCAAGTACACTTGTTCTACATTCTTTAACGGACCTACATAGAGTTCAAATTTCTCCCTATATTTCTCCACTCTGTCTGCCTGCGACTCAATAGCAATTCAAATGGATTTTCAACCATGGTTGGTTGGAAGCGTCTGATGACTGCTGCCTTGAAATCCTCCCAAGTTGGTTAGTGCACTAAAACCTCCCACCATTGATGTCAAGTCAGTGCTTTCCCTTCCATTGCCACCATCCCTGCCTGTAATTTTCCTCTCCTGACATCCCCTTCAAATCAAAGTATCTCCCCACTCTGCTTGTCCAATCATACACATCCTCTCCATAAAAAACTAGTATCTCTAACTTCCTCCATTGATCCACTTTGTATCGTCCCCCATTATGGCAACCACTGTGGTCGCCATGAGGAATTGTTTGGCTTCCGTCGTTGTTCTCTTCCGCTTGTCTTGCACGGAGGCTTGCACTTCATTTAATTGTTCAACATTCTTCATTATTTTTCACGCATTGCCAACAAGCCTTCAAAACCCCTCTCCAATCACCCTTGCTTCCATCTTCACGTTCCATGTTGTCACCATCAATGGTCCCTTAGAACTGGTAGCACTGATACCAGTTGATAGAAACCAATTGGTAGAGTTATGAACTGAACTTTATGTTCACAAAAACTGACATTGAATTACCAATCTACATAAAACACCAAAACTGAAACGGTATAACACTATGGACGTCATAAACATTAGACCCTCCAAGTTACCAAGAGCTTGGTCCCTCCCTTTCCCATATGACTCCGTAACTCCTAAAGGCAATTATGCTTGCCCCTTAATAAAACATTAAAACTGCTAAAATGGTTAAAAAACTGTCAACAACTACTAGTAACTGTCTTATTTACTGTAGAACCTTATTTCTGGTTTCTCCTCTTATAATTTTTGCTTATAAGAGGTCTAACATTATTCAGCTAACGATGTTGCTAAATAATTAATTGTCAGTTGAGAAAGTCTTTAGGTTATTTGATGTTTTTTCTGTTATATTATGCTTTTATGAGCACTGATTTGTTTGTGTTTTATTTTTTTAATTATCACTTATGCTTTAGCTCTGTATAAAGAGCAGTTACATGTTTGTAATGGTGTGCTTGCAGTTATAAATTACAGCCTTCTATTTTTCTGCTTGTTCATATTTTCTCAGTTTGCTTTTTGTTTGTGCTTCTGTATAACAACAGAATCTGTTGTTGTCTAATGGCTCATTTACATGTACTTAATTTGCAAACTTGCCTCCTAATATAACAGCTGAATAACTGCACAGTTGACTAAGTGTATGTAATGAACTAAAAAGTAATCATTCGGGTATACATCAAGTAACATCTACCTAGTGAGTAATGTCTAATAGTTTCTGCCTTTTTTCTTCCTTGTCTGTTCTGTTAGGGAGCCACTATTTTAGATCAACGCGTATGCATTACACGCTGGGGGAAATATGAAAATGAGTTTGAGTTTTGGAACCAGCCCTCTTACAGTCACGGGGACGAGGCTTCTTCAACTGTATGTATATATATTTCTTTCAATCGTGCTAAATTGCTAATTATTATGGCTTTCTGCACATGGTGTGTTTCAACATTTTTTCTTTCAGACACCACAGAGCAGTCAATTTGTTTCCTCTGCTGGAGAAGCAGTCACCATGGCTCAAGAAGTCGTGAAGACCATGCTAGCAAAGGGATATGTTCTCAGCAAGGATGCGCTAGCTAAGGCTAAAGACTTTGACGAGTCTCATCAGGTTTCCGCCACTGCAACAGCGAAGGTTTCTGAACTGAGCCAGAGAATTGGCCTCAAAGATAAGATATCTGCTGGTATTGGAGCTGTTAAATCTGTGGATCAGAGATATAATGTCTCTGAAACAACCATTGCGGCCGCATCCACAGCAGGAAGATCGGTAGCAGCGGCTGCAAACTCTTTGGTAAACAGCAGCTATTTTTCAAAAGGAGCCTTGTGGGTGTCAGGTGCTCTAACCCGAGCAGCTGAAGTTGCTTCCGATTTGGGTACTCGCAGGCATACACAGTAAATAAAGCATAACATACTAAACACTATCTTGTATATATGTCTGCCTCTGCTAAATACCTGTTGAAACTTAAGTTACAAATATTGTTATACTTCTAAAGTACATAAGTCCTGTTCAGATAAATTTTTCTATAAACACTTGTAGAATAAAGCCCAAATGCATTGAGTTACTCTTCTGAGTTAAAATCATCTTAAGTTCTTAATTTTTATAGAATTTGTTTCCTTTACCTCTTTTTAAAAATTGAAGTACATAAGATAATTTTAATTTATCAGAATTTATGGAAAATTTATCTTAACAGGACCATAGTGGATGTAATTATGGATAATGCCAAGACAGGATTGAGCTATGAAACCTGTGCTAATTTGCCACTGAATTACAATTCTAATAGCAAATCACGGTAGTTGTCAGTGAGGGGCTAAACTCATTATGGTTTGTAGGGATAAAAACATAGAAATTTTAAACAACACCACAATGTGTTATCCCAATGTGTTACTAGAGTAATATTACTTGCGTATTCTTTATCTTTCACAAACTATGCACAAATTTGACTTCAAGTGGTCCAAAGATATTGAAGATGCTTGGGATTGTGATATTTATAGAAATGGCATGACAAGTATTGGAATATATTGATTTTACTTTATAAAAGTTAAAGACTTCTTTTACACCCTGTTTGATTTAATAGCAATGCTTGATTAATGCATTAGAAATCGCAGCAGAAGGGGAAAATAATTATTTTCCATCAAACTCGCAATTACATCACTGTTCAATGTTGAGACAAAAAGACTATCAGATCTAATACACAAGTACATTAATTTGACCCTTAGATTAATGGTTAGTCTTTCAAAGATTGTATGTGATATTGAAGTGGTTCTTGACTTGATCAATTGAATTAATGAAAGCACTGTTTACATTTGATTATTCAACAGCGTTGAACTGGGATTAATCTGATATATATATATATATATATATATATATATATATAGAGAGAGAGAGAGAGAGAGAGAGAGAGTAATATCTAATATATTAAGTAATAAGTTATTATTACACTCTAGAAAATTGAAAAAAAAATATGTAAGGATTATATTACATGTCATACAATATAGAAAATCATGATGAAATAACTAAATGATTGTAAAGTAATTTAAATAATAATGTTAAGAAATAAAAAATATATTATTTTTCTAAATATCAGTCGAAACTAATTTTCTACTTATTTGACTAGTTGTTTACTAATTTTAAGTTATCCAAACTAACAATCTGATCAGTTTTTGATTAAAGTGGAGGGCTTACACCAATTTTAATTTCAATGAAAAAAAAAATACAAAGATTTTGTTAAAAGAAGAATTTGTTATGTTGAAAAAAAATCAGAAAATATTTAAAATATTCAGATTTTTTTTCTCCAAAAGATAGAAAAGTTGTTTTACACATTTTAGCATAATCCTTGTGTAGACATGTCTCGTAGACCTAGTGTGGTTATGGGTAGGTAGTACTTCTTACCCGTCTCATTATCTATTCAACTCATGGATATCAATAAATTCTTTTGTTATTTTTATTTTTTAATTTTAAATAAAATTATTTCAAATTATTTTTCTAAATAATTCTTAATTTTTTTGTTAATAATTTTATTTCGGCCACTTAACTCTAAAAAAATAAAAATTAAGAAGAGATAATAAGAGTATTTGCAACAAATACATAATATTATTCGTCTTAGTTAAAAAAAAAAAATTATAAATATCTTTCCCAGCTAGATTAAATTTTCATCGTTACTTTTAATTTCATCCACATATTTCAAAAAGTTTCTCCAAAAGTACTTTTAAAGGGAAGGAAATAAGAGCATACCATAAAATGAATTTCTTTATTATATATATTTTTTAATTTGTCTGATTTTAATTTGGAAAAAATTATTTAAATTTTTTGTCTTTCTCTTTTAGGAGCTTGCTAACAAGTTTTTACAAATATATCATTTATCTTCTTTTGTGTAATTAGAATTTATCGAGTTTGTTGATGATATAGCCTCTGAAGTTGCATGTAGACTATTAAGAGTTGTAGTAATTACAAATTTGCAATAAGATATAGTTCGTCAATTGAGTGAGTTAATTATCGTGTTCTTATTATATGAAGAAAAAAAAAAGTGCTCTTACGATATTTAAGCAAAATTTCGTTTTATGATTTTTCCAACTTGCCACATGCAGCACCGTACGATCATCTCCGACAATTTGACATCACTTTATATTTTATTTTTAGGAAATGTTTTGTCAGTTAAAAGGGAAAACTTGTGCTTATAATTTTAGTACACATAATGAAAAAATAGATATAATTAATTATACACAATATATTTTAAAGAATGTGTGATTATATTTAAAAACTAGTATTTTAATCAATTATTATATAAGATAAATATTTATATTTGTATAAATAAAACTTATAAAAAAAATACCTATATTTAGTATGTATGTAAAAATGAGAATGAATGATAGGTAGGAGGAATAAAGGAGAGAGATTGAAGTGAGTCTCGCCTTGATGCAGCCATGACATATGTAATGTTAAAATTAAGATTTATAATAAAATATTTATTTCTAATTTTAGTAATTTTTTTTATAATTTTTTTAATATTAAGTATTTATAGTTTAAATTATAATATGATGTATATTTTATATGTTTAAAAAATATAAAAAATTATAATATTTTTAATTATAATTATTTTTATTTTGAATATATAAATAATTTTTAGAGGTGAATAATGGTCTCATCTCGTATTTATCCGCTCCACTGACTTAGTTGGTTACATATAAAAATATAATTACGGTTTAAAATTACCCATCCATCTTATCAGTTTTAATCCATAATCACAAACATAAAAATATCTATTCTTAACTTATCCATAAGTTAATTTATAAAATATTTCTATATAATTTTTAATTTTTTAATTTATGTATAACTAATTTTAATTAAAAACAATAATTTTTTTCATATTTTTATCTTCTAAAAATTCTTTTAAAACTTTTTTTAAACATTGACTAAATAAATATCTTTTTAAATGATACATACTAAAAAAATTCAAAAACATTAATACAAAATAATCCCGCTAAAGATGTCAACTATTTTTTTTACTTAAAAATAATTTAATTATAATAATAATAATTTCTATATAAATATTAACTGAATTAAAAGTATTTGAATAATAAATTAAGAAGATTTTTTTTTCAATAAATATGTAAATTATAAAAAATTGAGATAAGTAATACAAACTTTAATATTGAAAACATTGTTACGTTCTCTATCTCAATTATATGTATTTTGAACTTTTTCCTTATTATTAATAGATTAAATTAAAATTTAATATGATTTCAAAATTATCTTAAAAATTTCACCTAATTTTTATTATAAGATTTATGAAAATACTAAAAATGTTTCGCTCCTCCTTTGATTTTTTTTTTTTGCTTTTTCTAATTTATACCCAATTATTTGGCTTGAGATTTTATTTCATTTGATCCTTTTTTGAGCACTGACCTTTAGCTATGAAAGAGATGGCATTTTGAAGATGGAGCCAATCCACGCAGTGTCCTCCGCAACGGACGGTTCTGATGTACGATTCATCTCTGTTTCTCACAGAAACCAAAAATCATGGCCACCAGCAAATTAAAGAACATAAACTCGACTAGTAGTTCACGAATCACTATCAAACCATCTTCCCAAAATTCACAATTTCAATTTTTGGACAAAGAAACTTTGTTTTTATTTTCTATTTGAAGAAAATAATAATAATAATAATAATAATAAAGAGAAAGAGAAAAGTTAGCACATGAAATTTGAGTAACTGAACTCACCACAACCATGCCACCATGTGGATGGGAAGATTCATTATTTTCCCTGAAACTTACTCAAACAATTAACAATTTTGCAAAATTAATACTTTTATCTACTACAAATATAAATATTATTGTAATTTATTTGAGAGGCAAACTAAAAATAAAAAAAATAATATTTCATGAACAAGTGGAAATATTAATCGATTTGTTATTATCCTTTTTAAACTAAAATTATGATTATGTAGCGATGCGAAAAAGTATAAATATTAACCACATGTTGACACTAGTTGAGAATTAAAAAAAATTATTAAGATAAGAAAAAACGTAATCTCTTATCTATAATATATATTCCTTCGAGAGAAAAAATATAATTTATATTTATATTATATTATTCTTTATTTTATTCTGAAATATAAAATAAAAATATCATTTATTTGTTACTATTTTTCTTAAAATTCTATCTCTTATTTGTTTATTTCCAATAATTCATAATCTTATAAATAAATATTTATATTTTAAAAATTAATATATAAATTAAATTTTAATATATTAAAATTAAAATATAATAAAAATACAGATACACGGTAATAATTTATTAATGCGTTTTCTCACTATTTGTGATATTTTTCATTGGTTTAACCAATGTCCTTGCATTAGCGAGACCCAAATTTTAAATTCGTTACTCTCTATTGTATTATAATAGTCGTTTAAGGTCTATTATTTTTTTACTATTTTAATACAATTTTAAGCGAGTTACCTATTATATCCTTTTTCTATTATTATGTATATTCATGTGTTGTTATATTTTATCCATCTGTTATCATCACTAATCTTTCTCTCTCCATGTTAATTAAATTAACTTTTAAAATGTTGCATTTAATTAAAAAATGAATATCATTTTTTTTTTTTAAATCAACAGATTAAAGGAAGGAGGAAGTAGTAGATTCTTTAAAAAATATATAAAAATGATGAGTTTTTAGTCTTTTTATTTTCTTCCTTGTAAGTAATTTTAGTTATTTAAGTGAATTGGAAAACAGAGAAGAGGAAAGGAATGGAAGAAAAGTGTAAATTAAGGAAGATGCCAAGAGGGTGCCCTTTCAGCTTCCAACTAATAAAGGCCTGTTAAGCTGTGAGAGCTGCTTGTCTTTGGCTAAATATAAAACACTATTTTGGGGACCTCTTTAAGGTCACGTC